ATTCTTGCCATATGGGGCTGGATGCTGGGGCCCTTCAACTATCTGTCTGCTTTTCTTCTCACTAAAAGACAGCCCCAAGGGATTCTTTATGACTCCCTTATCACTGCACCCTAAACATTCGTCATGTCATCTCCCTCGCCTGCTCCCCGGATGAGCAATCTGACTCCCGTTCGGCTAACCCAGCGGTTCTCAACATTTTTGGACTCGAGGCACCCCTCAGTAGACTCAAGGACCCCCCCCCACCCCCCCCAGCAGCACCCCATTTCAAAAGCGAATTTATTTATTACAATGCTAACCTCCTTGGGTCATGGGAACAGGCATGCAGCACCCTTCTCAGACTCTCGCAAGCGCCCCAGGGTGTCCCCACACCTGGTTGGGAATCCCTGAGCTAACCCTTCCTCACAACGCGCTCCTGCGTGCAAGGAGCGGAGTGCAGATGCAGGTCCGGTAACGAGGTGGCAGGTCTCAGGAGCGATACGCCTCGGAGGAGAGCTGGGGAAGCGTTCCCGCCAGGGAGGTGACCTCTGAGGTAGGGTCTGCGCTCAGAGGAAGCGGGCAGCCACGCAAAGGATTGCAATTCTGGGATCTGAGGAACTGTTTCGTGAACCGTAGGCAACGTCACCAAAGACTTCGCTGACCGACCGGGGATTATTAACCTATCGCCCTGTGCCGAAGTAACGAACGCGTCCTGGATGCCGTGACCGCACCGTACGGGAGGAGATGCTCCTTGGCAGGGGAAACGCCATGCATCGGGGTCCACAAAGGCAGTTTTCCTTATGGGAGAACTGGTTTTCTGGCGTGGTTTAGCGCTGACTTTATGGGAAGGGCAGGCTCCTCCCCAGCTGGCTCCTGCAGCCGCACGGCTGAGGGCCGGCGAAACGCGGGGGCAGCCGGACCTCGGCCTCCAGGCTCGGGCCTGCAGTAGGACACCGGCCAGGAGATGATGGAAATATCTGGAGCCCGCGCGGGGCTGGAGGACGCTTGCCAGTTGCAGGGCCACGTGTTTCCAGGCTGACTTGATTTGGCGGGGAACACGAAAAACGTCCTTAAAAAAGAAAAGAACTCAATAAGGAGGCGCGCCTCGGTGCTTCCGACCGGGCCGTCCCGTCGGATGCTGGAAACGGGGCTGTATTGTTCGTTTTTAATTTCACGGATGGGCCCTCGGCGTGGAGGGCTGTTGTTGGTTGTCGTCTCCTCACGAGCGGGGTCTCTCATGTCCCCGGGAATGCTGCCCGTGCGGGGCCGATCCCCGCCGTCTCCGCCCCGTCCTGCTGGAGACATTCGGGGGGCGTCGAGCCCCCCGGCCTGCGTGAGGCGGTCGGCGACATGACCTCGGCTCAAAGTGACAGTGATGCGAGCGCCGTGACGTCGTGAAGCAGCGTGTGTGACAAGAACGTAAGGTCACATAAGCCAAGGACACTGGAGCAGTGTGACGTCACACGGTCCCTGGTGTGATGTCATGCGGGGGGGG